CAGACACTCAACCACTGAGCCACCCAGGTGCCCGACTTTTAAGTTTTAAATAAAATGTTCAGAGTCCTCCCTCATGTGTCCAGAATTTTTCAGGCCATTTTTACAAACACCGTAAGCTCGTCAATTCGACTGAGACGTTGCCTCATTGATCCAGAGGGCTCTAGAAGCATCTGTCTAGAAGTGGCGGCTAAGATGCCTCCCAGACCCCTCAGCTGGCTGACCTCTCCCAAGTGCTTTTAAAGACTTTGCTCTGTGCTCTGTGTAGCAACTTCTGAACACTTATAACAAAGAAATCATGAAGATTCCATTCTTAATGAGAAAGACTTTTAGGGGTGTCAGGCTGGCTTAATCGGGGAACATGTGACTTTTGATCTCGGTGTTGTGAGTTCGAGTTCCATGTCGGGTGTAGACATTACTTAAAAAAAAATAAGATCTTAAAAAAAAAGGCTTTTGGAAGGAAGCGGAGTGGGGTTGGATTTAAATGCAGTAAAACTTGAAGGACTGGATCTGCTGAGCTCTCTCTGCGTGTGAAGTGCTCCCTCTTCTCTGTTACATGCAAAGCGCACTAGCCACGTGGCGAGGAAGGGGCCTGGGCATGCCCTGGGCGTGCTCCCCGAGTCCCTGTGCTCTCATTTCTCTCTCTGGGCCGATATTGCAGATATTGCAGTGAAGCTCGCTGCTGCACACGAGCCTTCCAGCTGCCCTGCACTGACCCTTGTCCCGACTCACAGCAAAGTCTGGCCATGAGTGGTGTCGCTGTGACTTTTTACAGTCAGAAAGGGAACAGGACAAAACTTCCACATCAGGACAAGATTAAAAAGTCAATAAAGGGGCGCCTGGGTGGCTCAGTTGGTGTCCGCTTCATTCAGCTCAGGTCATGATTGCAGAGTCCTGGGATCGAGTCCTGCGTGGGGCTCCCTGCTTAGTGGGGAGTCTACTTCTCCCTCTCCCTCTCCAGCTTCCCCTGCTCAGTGCTCTCTCTCTCTCTCTCTCTAATCAATAAATAAAATCTAAAAAAAAAAAAAAAGGCCAAACTATGTGGGTACATGACACTACTTAGAAATGAAATAGAAAAATGTAGAATTGGCTAAGGAACTCCTCAGTTCTGAGCTGACGCACCGGCAGAGATGGATTGCTCAGATGAGCATGTCCCCTGGAGGCACATGGGCTCACCAACCCCCAAATTCCTGCACTGAGAAAACTGGCCAAAGCCTCAGTCCTCAGGAAGATCAGCTGCTGGAATGCAAATGTCTTCAGCTCCAAAACAAACAGAAACGATTGTAGTGAACTCTGCACCAAATATGCGCCTACGTAACACACAGTGAGAGATTGTTCTAAGTGGATTTACAACCATTACCTGGCACTTACAGACTGAGGACGTGCGCTCTAAAGACAAACTCTAAGGAAAATTTTGAGCTTCTATATAGTAGTTTCATTGTTTACGGTAATAATGGTGTGACTGTGAGACAATTTTTATCTAGTTGGGTAATGACATGTCCGAGTTGTTAGAAATAGTCCAAGTTGGGAAGCCTGGGTGGCTCAGTGGTTGAGCGTCTGCCTTAGGCCCAGGGTGTGATCCCGGGGTCCTGGGATCTAGTCCTGCATCGGGCTCCCTGCATGGAGCCTGCTTCTCCTCTGCCTGTGTCTCTGCGCCTTTCTCTCTCTCTGTGTGTCTCTCATAAATAAATAAAATCTTAAAAAAAAAAAAAAAAGAACCCTGAAGCCATCCCTTCCTTGTACAACCGGGTGGAAGAGGAAAGAACTGGGTAGGTATCCTGCCTTCCTCTTGGGGCCGCGTCTGTGCACTAAGTGAGCAGCCCTGGTGAGTGGGGGCATCTTCCTCCTCCCAGGGGGCTGGCTGGTCATCGGGGACAGAGATGCCACCGTCCCCACCACTGCTGGTTCCGGCTGGAGGGGCCGATTGGGGCTGCAGTGGGGTCGTGTCTGCTGCAGACAGAGGACCTTCAGGGTTAGGGAAGCAATTAGGGCCGGTTAGTAGGAATATGGTGAGTGTTCTGGGCCTGCTGCCTAATGAATGGGACCCAGGCCGTGCTCTCGATGCTTGCTTCTCCTCTAGACCGACAGAGGTCCTCTGTGAGGCCCGGAGGTGACTTCTAAGCAGTGTGATGTCACGTGGAGGTGGGGGGACCCTTAAACCTGTGGAGGGAGGTCCTCTGAGGCCCTCAGGTGACTTCAAAGCAGTGAGGTCACGTGGAGGTGAGGGGGATCCTCAGACCTGCGGAGGGAGGTCCTCTGAGGCCCTCAGGTGACTTCTAAGTAGTGTGAGGTCACGTGGAGGTGGGGGACCCTCAGACCTGCGGAGGAGGTCCTCTGAGGCCCTCAGGTGACTTCTAAGCAGTGTGAGGTCACGTGAGAGGACAGGTGGTGACGGCGTGCAGGCAGCATGTCCCTCCGGCAGGCGCGTGGACTCGGGGCCTGTGCAGCCGGAGCCGGGAGCAGGCCCGAGGGGAGGATTAGGAAACAGGCCGTTGACTCTCTGGCTTCCCCACTCTGGCCCTTGTGCCAAGGCTCCCGCTGTCCGCGGCCGACAGTCCCCGCTGAGCAGGAAACACTTGCCGATGGTCCCCGCCGCCCCACGGAGCTGGCAGCAGCAGCGGGGCCCTGTGTGGCTGCAACCGCACAGCGGCGTCCCCACCGTGGAAGCTGGCGTCCCCACCATCTCTCTGCGTCTCGTTATCGGAAATGAGCGCTACTTTGAACCCTGCGTGCTATCTTCAGGGAGGGCGTGACAGGCGGGAATGAAACACTTGGAAGAGGTCTTCCTGGCTTCTTGGGGTCACCCAGTTTTGCCTCGACCCCATCCTGTGTCTGCAGCTGGGCTGTGGCGCGAGGACTCCGAGGGCCGACCTTGTCACGGTTCCTGCGTTCGTGTCACCAGCAGGTTGTGAACTGCACACCACAGTGCCAGGGACGCACCCGCTGAGTGCTGATGAACGGCACCGAGCAAACGCCAGCTCGGGTGGCCACACACCGCCAGTGTCCCCAGGGGACCGAGCCGTGCCAGCTCCCAGGACAGCAGCAGTAAGGGCAGGCGGCCCAGGCCCCGGAGTCCGGGGGACCCGCCAGGCTCCCGGTGCAGTGAGGGGCATGCAGCTGACCCCGGCTTCTCTAGACAGGGCTGTCACTTCTGAGCCGAACACCCTGCTGTCAGAAGTGCCCTTTTTGCTAATGAGAAAACTGCACTGAGAAAACTAGCCCAAGGCTCTGTCCTCAGGAAGATCAGCTGAGGGGTCATTTTAAAGCAACCGAGAACCTTTAGAATGAAACCCACAAAGGAATCCCGCCTTGGAGGGACTGTCCCATGGTGGTGTTGACGCCGGGGGAGATGGGGAACCCAATGCCAGCAGCAGAAGGCTTCACACCTTCTGGGGGCTTGCCTTCCTTTGCAAACCCTTCCCACCTTTCCTTGCTGCTTCTCAGGTCACCCGGACCCTGGCCTGCACCCCTGCAAGTTCTTGGCTCTGTGCGGAGAAGGTGGCCTGTTGGGAATTCTGGGCCCTTGGAGGGATCCAGGGACAAGATCAGAGTCCTGTCTGGGCGCCCCTCCTTTCCACAGGGTGTGACCTCCCGGCTCCCACGGGGCACTTGGCGTGCCTTCCTCTGCATGCACCTTCCTTGCAAGCGCTTGTCTGGGTCCCCCTGCAGGTTTCTTGCTCCCGTTGGAAGCACCCACTGGATAAGTGACCTTGCTGGCCTCTCCATATTGTCTGGTGAGGTGTAGGGACAAGGCCCACTGAGGCAGCCTGCAGCCCCGATACCAGAGGGGCCTCTCTTGCTCTAAGGTCAGCAGCACCTGAATCAGGGTTCCTGGGGCTCTGGGGGCTTCTGAGAGGTGGCAAAAGGCCCTGGCTCCTCACCAGCACGCAGACAGGCCAGGTGACACAGAAGGAAGATCCCAAACCACAAAACCTGCGCTGCTGGTGTGGGAGAGGGCACGAGAGCAAAGGCCCGGGAGGTTTCAGCCAGTACTCTGCGCCCCTGCAGCTTGGGTCTCTCACAAGCAATGTTATTTGCGTGATCAGAGTAGAAGGCGCTGGCTAACTTCACGAAGCCCGTCCAGCCTCTCATCACTGGGTCCTCTTGTCCACCCACCCAGCCCTCGGCAGTCTGCACCCTGCTCCCAGCCACGCGCCCACCCACAGAGGGGACGGAACGCCAGTCCTGCTTCCCCAGCCACGGGAAGCTCATAGGAGACAGATGAAAATGGTTTGGGTCTCACACCTTTGAAGTCGCAGCAGAGACAAGATTCAGAGGGCACACTCCCTGCCCGTGTCCATGGCGGCAGTTTCACAGCCTGAACTTCGCTGTACGATGTGAGCTGACCAGCCAGGGAAGCCTGCTGTCCTTGTCGACTCCCCGGAGCCAGTCCTGGTGGATGGGCTTCCCCACCTCCAGACAGGCGCCCCCAGAGCTGGCGACAGGGCCATGACCTCCACAGCCCTTTGCAGGATGCTGCTGGTTCTCATGTCAGCTTCTTGGGGCATGTTTCAGGTGGCACACCTGGGAGGTTGTCTAATGTTTACCCGGAACAAAGAACGCATCCTGAGCAACCGTCTGCGCTTCCCAGAGGCTGGCCTTCTCGCCCATCACCCCTGCAGCCCACCACCACCCCCAGCCCACCAGCCCCCAGTTGTCACAATACTTTTCAGAGCTCCACGTTTTACCCACATCAATCTTTCCAAGGATATGATATCAAATTGTAGTTTCTTTTTTTTTAATTTAATTTTTATTTATGATAGTCACACAGAGAGAGAGAGAGAGAGAGAGAGAGAGAGAGAGAGAGAGAGAGGCAGAGACACAGGCAGAGGGAGAAGCAGGCTCCATGCACTGGGAGCCAGACGTGGGACTCGATCCAGGGTCTCCAAGATCGCGCCCCGGGCCAAAGGCAGGTGCCAAACCGCTGCGCCACCCAGGGATCCCCCAAATTGTAGTTTCTTAATCAAGAAACTTAATCATAATCAGCAAGATAATCATACCCATTTGACAAATATTTAAGTCATTTATTGCCATTTAAGTTACAGCACTTTAATATACACGCTGCATGGAAGCACACTTTCTCTAACACTGGCGATGACAGTGTAAGTATGGCTGGCTGTCGGTGGTCTCATGGTCATTAAAGAGTTAAAGATTCTGAGTATTTAAGTGCTAATAATTACAATTTTTATCCAATTTTTTATTAAGTAAATTCTAGCAAGTAATATACATATTACTGCAGATAAAACCATCATTGGGAATTATTAAATTGATTGCATATTTTGAGCTATCTTTATGAAGAGAAGTAAAATACTTGGTATGTGTAAGGCAGCAGAGAGTTGGCTTAGGGACTCTCAGCTATTTCTAGAAAAATTGGTTAGTAAAAATAGCATTCAGCTTATTTTCCTTAGCAAGACTATTCTGAGGATGGAATCTGTGACTCAGCAGCAGCGCTGACGCTGTCCCTTCAAACACCTGGTTGCTCATTTTCCACTGTTATGCTGATGCCTTTTTACTCATCCTGGAAATAAACACAAAGAAAAATTCAATGAAAAACAAACTTGGATGGCGTTAAGACACCTTTACATTTATTTCAACCTAATAATTTTATTAAAAACAGTAATATCCTATTTCATGTTAATTTGCATGTTTCAGTAAGCAAATCTGTATTGCATTTGCAGACCAATCATTGTTTTAAAATCAGCAACATATTTTTTTCCAACAGCACATTTTTGCTCTGAATCTAGTTTCCCCAACTGCTGACACATTATCTCTGTGCACACACACACACAATCACACCTAGTCCCCCAAGGCCTCCAGATTGGAGCTTCTGTCTCCCCAATTCCTCAAAACAAAAACGATTAAATCAGGATCTGCTTACTCATGTTTGATAAGGCGTCCTCCCTGAATGAGCTGGGCTACTTCATTTGTGGCATGGCATGCAAACAGAAGCCAGTTTCGAGGCTGGACCTTGTAGGCAAATCTCATGAATGTCAAGGAGTAACAACAGAGGGCTGTCGGAAACATCAAAGCAAAGCAATGGCTTATGGTCTAGCAGACTGAGAGCTGGTGTGATCAGAGATCAGCGGCTTGATCGCCTTCATCAGAAAAAGAATCTCTTCTGCTAAAACTTTTCACAGACGATAAAAGTTGTTGCTTAAATTCTCCCACGAATGGGAAGCTCATTCCATATTTTACTCTACTGTTAGGTATTTTTACTTATTAAACATTTCAGGGACGTTTGCTTGCTAGAGTGGGCTATTAGTTCTAGCACTGTCTGAAAGAATTGCTACTTAATCCCCGCAACAAGACTTTTATGGTCAAATATCAGATTTCAAATAAAATTCAAGGCACTTCATCTAAATAAAGTCCAAGAGGACCCATTCTTCACTTGTGTGTACTAGATCTGAAAGGCACACAGGACCTTAACACTTCCTGGGTAAATATTTCAAAACAACCCTGTTTTTTTTTTCCTCCCCGTGGACAAACACCCTTCCATGCCATCATATTTCTTTATGTTACTTTCAAATCGTGACTGTAGTAGCTGGAGCTACAAACCTGAAATGTAAACAGAAGCCATATTATGCTATAATTATATGTATCAAAGTCCTCCCAATTATTCAAATGTGTGTCCTTACCAAATGTCATCCGCCCACTGATAATCTCTGGAGACTTTTTCATGTCATTGATGGCAGCAATGGGAAGACCCCAGTTGGCTACAGGGCCCCAGAAATGCTACAAAAATGAGAGGAAGGGAAAAGGAGAGGAAAGGATAAGGAGGGGCTGTGAAAAGCTGCAGTTTCTTCCTTTAAATGACAATGGAAACATGTGAAAATGAACCTTCATGTTTACATCTTGCAGGTTTACTTGCAGATGGCCGGTTAACATTTAGGCACTGTCTGGTCAAGGTTTGGCCTGTACATCAGTGGCTCTTCCAGGGTGAGCCCCGAGTCGGGAAGAATTTGGCCATTTACCAAGATCCCCACCAACTTCCAGATTACTGCTAGGTAATCTCTGTCCCACTGAGAGAACTTTAAATCAGATTAACTTCTTACCCAATTCCCTCCTGCCGTAACTTAAACCTCATTACAACTATTCTCCAAATGGACTGTTTAAATCTCTCAAAACCTCTTTTTCAAATTTACATTAAGATATTTGTCAGTAACTCTTAGAATGCCTATCCTAAATTGGAGATTTTTTTCTGAAGAAAGCAACTTAAAACAGGAGAACTTGCTTTCTTGCTTTTCAGCTCCTATGAGCTATATTTAGATCAGAGAACATGGAAATCTCTACTCAGAACCCCAGAGATACTAAGAAATTAAGACTGGAAGATACTTTTGAAGTCATAGCAACAACCAATGTTTAAAAAAGGCTCAACAGTTTTTCATCCTAGGACAGGAGCATCCCAGGACAGCAAAATGACATTGTCTGTGTTCAACAGCAGTAATATCCAATTGATTTAGTTTCTGAGGCTGAACGAAGTTCAGTAGCTTTTCCCATCAAATTAAAAATTGTTTATTAATGTACAATTTACAGTAAGGTATGAAAGAAACCACACATCGTTGACTAAACACCCTTTTTCGTTATCAGACTATTAATCAGTGATCAACTTCTGCCTATCAGAGCATTTAAGATAAATTCAGGCTGCTGAGCACATTTCTAACATTGACCAGGAGTCTTTAAAATCCCTAATTCCATTAAGAAGTAGGAAACAAAGGAACTACAAGAAAAGTATGTGGATTATGTTTGGGATGATAGAATATTTTGAAATGCTTACTTAACATGCTTAAGTGGGAGGCCCAGGCCGCCCAGGCCTTAACCAGCTGTAAAGAGCCAGAGCTCCTCTGGGGCCAGCACGCTAGGCATGGGGGCATCTACAGCTGACTTTCAAACCCCGTAATTGGACACAGCTGGTGTAAAGAATCTCAGAGGTTCTGTGGTGGCGGGTTAGTGTTCTCATCTTCAGACTGGATGTTATCTGAGTTACACTCTGCTGGAACTTGAATTTCTTGTACCTGGATGCTGAGTGGCCAATCCTCTCCCCACTACCTACTGGAGCTCTGGAGAGGGAGGGTGGCCAGCCTTCACTTACTGGCTTCCCCCCATCCCCGTCCTTCTCCGGGGGGTGGGGGAGGCACTTCTTTTCTCAGCTCCCTGCCATACTGGTGTCTCCCTTTCCTCATCTACTGACCGGGCCTTTCTCCACCTTAGTTTAGTTTTATCTTTTTCTAGTTAATCTCTTCCCACAGCTCTGCTTTGCATGTTGGTCCCCATGTCTACCTTCTCATACATAGACACGGGGCTGGAATAGAGCCTGGAGAGGTTCTCCACCACCAGGCCCAAAGGCATCTCCCCCTGCGGCTGGGGTCAAGGAACAGGACCCTGGCATAAACCTGACACCTCAAGCAGCCCTGGAGGACTTGCGCTCACATGGTGGCATTACGAGTTCTAGGTTGAGGACTGTCATGCATGAACAGAGTTCTGCAAATTAGCGGCGATCAACACTCTTATGATGATAAACATTAAGATACGCTTACAACCGGTTTCTTAAAAAGAATATGAAAGGTAAAAATGATCTCATCACTAGTTTACTAAAAGATCTAACCTCAGAAGGTTAACAATGCAGCCTTTCTGCCTAGTGCAAGCTTCTAGTTCCACTTCCCTGTTTGTAAACACGTTTGGTCCAGGTTCCTTCTGCTCAGCAGTCAATGCACTGGTCCTGCCTGAAGTTAGTGCCCAGAGCAGATCAGAACCGCCACCAGATGTGGTGGCCAGATCGGCCAGCTCAAGCAGAGGAGGCCAGGGCTGGGCCAAGGCTGCTGTCTGTAACTCTGTTAATGCACAAAGTCTGCAAAGGCCTGAAATAAAGTAGAACAATTTTCTTACCGTACTATTTTGTGAGGAGGCCCCAAGGTTCAGACAGGAGAGATGTAGGGAACAAAAAAAAAAAAAAAAAAAAAAGATCAGATGCTTTGAAAGATTTCAGTTCTATTAGGTGACTTCAACCTCACACGTGTGCTCAAGTTTCAGCGACAGAACTACCAGGTGAGCAGCACATGTTCTTTTCTTAAGAAGATACAGTTTTATTCCTAACAACAACTTTGACCCAATGAAACTAAAATTTCGTAAATCTTACGAAAATAAACTTACGCCTTAGAGTGAAGCTGTCCAACAGAAATATAATGCAAGTCACTACCAGAAGCCACATATGTAATTTAAAAATTTCTAGAAGCCACATTAGAAGTAAAATGAAACTAGGGAATTTTATTAAGTTTATTCTAATGTATCAGAAATATTTCAATTTGAACATGTAATCAACAAAAACTTAACAATGTGACATTTTACATTTTTTTGTACTAAGTTTCTGTGATATTATGTGTGTTGACATTCGTGGCACATGTCATTTGGACTGGCCACAGGTAAAATGCTCCATTGTCATCTGAGGCTCACAGCTGCTGGATGGCATAGTGCAGGCTGAGGGGGCATTTCTCTGGAAATGAAGAGGTGGAGAAACACAGTGCTACAGAATTCCGGCAGTGATGAGCTCACCATTTTTACGAACAGGTTATTACCAGAACAAAAGCACCTAAAAATAGGCATGTAACTTTACATTTTGTTCACTTCTAAAACTCTGGAACCTCAAATGGTGTCAAGCATTTACAAGGCACCCAAAAAAGTCTTTGTTGAATGAACGAATGAATGAATAGTAAAAACTTTCAACATTAAGTGTTTTTCCAAATGTTAAACTTAGTATGGTTTAAAAATACATAAAAAGTTTTAGAACGAATTCCTTTTATTTCTGAAATGGCAATTCTTTTTGCAGGATATAGATTAATCTTCTGTATGGCAAAATCTTAAAGTTTATGTATTGAAAGAGTTAAGGAAGTAAAATGATAAAATCCTTTATAAACACATTGACATCCAAATAGCTCTTCTCACCATTTTGATTTAGAGGTCAAGAAGGTTCTAATTTCCACTGTGAAAGTATTTGTTGACGGTGCTAATAATATTCAAATAGGCTTTATTATGAAATTCAAGAAGCCTAAAAAGAGTCTTTCGACACTAAATGAATTGTTTGAAGAAATTATGTTTCACTATATTTGCCTTACCAAGACTATTTCACAGGAAGTCCAAATTGAGCACAGTGTTTTGCCTCAGAAGGGGTGGGTTTTCTTACCAGGCCAGCCTGACCTAGGAGATTATGGACTATGCTCATCTGCAGTGTCACTATTCTGTTTGTTTCAGAAGTAGAATTTAGGGATTCCTCAGTTGCATATAACACCCAGTGCTCATCTCATCATGTGCCCTCCTTAATGCCATCCCCCAGTTACCCCATCCTCATCCCCTCCAGCAACCCTCAGAGTTCAGTGTCTCTTATGGTTCACCCCCCAGATTCATTGTCTTTTATTTTTCCTTCCCTCCATCTACATTCATCTGTTTTGTTTCTTAAACTCCTCACATGACTGAAATCATACAGCATTTGTCTTTTCTCTGATTGACTCATTTCACTTAGCATAATACACTCTAGTTCTAATCACATTGTTGCAAATAGCAAGATTTCATTCTTTTTGGATGGCTAATAGTCCAACTCTCTCTCTCACACACACACATACTCTCTTTCTCTCTCTCTCTCTCTCTCTCTCTCTCTCTCTCTCACACACACACACACACACACACACACACACAATCTTCTTTATCCATTCGTCTACTGAGGGACATCATCTGGGCTCAATCCACAGTCTGGCAATTGTGGACACAGCCACTATAAACACTGGGGTGCAGGTGCCCCTTCGGATCACCATATTTGTATCCTTTGGATAAATACCTAGTAGCACAATTGCTGGGTCATAGAGTAGTTCTATTTTTAACTTTTTGAGGAACCTCTGTATTGTTTTCCAGAGTGGCTGCACCAGCTTGCATTCCTACCAATACTGTGGGAGGGTTCCCCTTTCTCTGAATCCTCACCAACATCTGTTGTTCCCAGAGTTAATTTTAGACATTCTGACCAGTGTGAGGTGGTATCTCATTGTGGTTTTGATTTATATTTCCCCAATGCTGAATGAAGCTGAGTATATTTTTATGTGTCTGTGGCCATTTGTATGTCTTCTTTGGAGAAATGCCTGTTCATGTCTTCTCCCCATTTCTTGAGTGGATATTTTGTTTTTTGTAGTGTTTACTATTCTTAAAGCACCTTTGTTCAGGATCTGAACAAAGAACCATATTTAATTAGCTGTAAGTTACCAGTGGTACGTTTTCCCATCAAAAATATTTTAAGAGATGTAGTTTTTAAAACCTAAAAGATCAACTTGGGGAGTTTTCAATTCAGGACTCTTCCTGAACCGTACAATAGTTCAAATTCTACCCTATTCTACAGCATGAAAATCATCACACAAAGAATGCTGATCTTCCAACCAAGAATACCCTACCCAGCAAAGTTATTCAGAATTGAAGGAGAGAGAAATAATTTTCCAGAAAGCAAAAGTTAAAAAAGTTCACCGCCATTAAACTTGCCTTACATGAAATGGGGTTAATTAGTAACAAGAGCACACATGAAAGAGTAAATCTCACTGTTAAAGTAAATATATAGTAAAGTTAAGTGGATTAATTACTTATAAAGCTAGTATGAAGGTTAAAAGACAAAGTAGTAAAAATAAAATAATTAGCTAAGGGACAGACAAGATAAAAGGATGTAAAGTATATCAAAAACAAAATAAGGGGAGGAACATTGAAGTTTAGAATGAGATCAAACTTAGAGTTGTTACCAACTGAAAACTATTACAGATACAAGTTGTTATATATAAGCCTCAAGGGAACCACAGAGCAAAAAACTATAATAAATAACAAAAAATAAAGATCATCAAACCACAAGACAGTAAGAGAACAATGTAACAGAGAACTACAAAAACATCCAGAAAATAAACAAAATGGCAGTAAGCACATACCCACCATTGGGCTACCTGTTCAGTTGGTAATCTGCTTCTCCCTCCCCTTCCAGCTCGTGCCCTCTGTCACTATCTCTGTCTCTCTCTCAAATAAATAAAATCTTAAAAAAATGAAAGAGATATTAAAACTGATACCACAGAAATAAAAAGGACTGTAAAATACCATTATGAACAATTTTACACCAATAAACTGGACAACCTAGAAGAATGGACAAATTCCTAGAAACATACAATCTACCAAGACTACATCATGATAAAATAGAAAATCTCAAGAGATTGATTACTAATGAAGTGATTGAATCTGTAATTGAAAACCTGCCAACAAAACGAAGTCCAGGCCCATACAACTTCCCTGTTGAATTCCACAAAACACCCAAAGAAGAATGAATACCAATCCCTCTCAAACACTTCTAAAAGATAGAAGAGGGAAGAATTCTTACCAAAATATTTTACAAGTCCAACATACCAAAACCAAACAAGGATGCCATACAAAAAAGAAAGTTACAGGTCAATATCCCCGATGAAAACAGATGCAAAAATCCTCAATAAAATATTAGCAAACCAAATTCAATAGTACATCGAAAGGATCATACACTATGATCAAGCAAGATTTATTCTAGGGAGTCAAGGATGGTTTAATATCCACAAATCAGGATGCCTGGGTGACTCAGCAGTTGAGTGTCTGCTTTCAGTTCAAGGTCAAGAGATCAAGCCCTGGGTCAGGCTCTGCAATCAGGGAGGATTCTGTTTGAGATTCTCTCTCCCTCTTCCTCTGTCCTGTGCCCTGCTTGTGTACTTGCTCTCTCTCAAATAAATAAATCTTAAAAAAAAAAAAAAAAGAACTTAGGAAAAAAAACCTGTTACTATTTGCAGTTGACATGATATTACATAGAGAGAACACCAAAGACTCCATCAAAAACTGTTAAAAAAAAAAAAAACTGTTAAACAGGGACATCTGAGTGGTTCAGTGGTTGAGTGTCTGCCTTTGGCTCAGGGTGTGATCCCAGAATCCTGGGATCCAGACCCACATCAGGCTCTCTGCATGGAGCCTGCTTCTCCTCCCTCTGCCTATGTTTCTGCCTTTCTCTGTGTCTCTTGCAAATAAATAAATAAAATCTTTAAAAAAAAAAAACCTGGTTAAACAAATTCAGTAAAGTTGCAGATTATAAAATCAGAATACCAAAATCTGTTGTTCTTTATTAATGAGCTATCAGAAAGAAATTAAGAAAACAATCTCATTTACAATTGCATCAAAATAAAGTACGTAGGTATAAATTTAATCAAGGATGTTGTATGTTGAAAACTGTAAGATATGAAAGAAACTAAAGAAGACTAATAAATGGAAAGCTATTTCATGCTTAGGGACCAGAAGAATATTATTAAACTGTTCATACTATCCAAAGCAATATACATATTCAATGAAATCCCTATCAAAATTCCAATGGCATTTTCTTTTCTTTTAAGATTTTATTTATTTATTAGAGACAGAGAGAGAGGCAGAGACACAGCAGAGGGAGAAGCAGGCTCCATGCAGGGAGCCCGACGTGGGACTGGATCCAGGGTCTCCAGGATTAAGCCCTGGGCCCAAGGCGGTGCTAAACCGCTAAGCGCCACCCCACCCCCCCGCCCCGGGCTGCCCCAATGGCATTTTCCATAGAAATACAGCAATCCTAAAATTTGCATGGCATCATAAAAGACCTTGAATAGGCAAGGCAATCTTGGAAAAACAAAACTGGAAGCATTAAGTTCCCTAATTTCAAACTATTACAAAGATGTAGTAATTAAAACTACATCTGTGTGGTATTGACATAAAAGAGATATAGATCAATAGAGCAGAGCCCAGAAATAAACCTACACAGGAGTCAAAAAATTTGACAGAGGAGTCAAGAACATAAAATGGGGAAAAGACAGTCTCTTCAATAAATGATATTGGGAAAATTGCACAGCCACATGCAAAAGAGTGAAACTGGACCATTACCTTACACCAAACACAAAAATAGATTAAAGATGTGAATGTAAGACTTGAAATCATAAAACTCCTAGAAGAAAACTAGGTGGCAAGTGGTTTGACACTGGTTTTGGCAAAGATTTTCTGAATCTGACAGCAAAAGCAAAAATAAGTGGGAGTATGTCAAACTAAAAAGCTTTTGCAAGTAAAAGAAAAATGAAAAGGCAACATATCGAATGGGAGAAAATATTTGCAAACTATATATCTGAAAAAGGGCTAATATTCAAAATACATTAACTCACACAACTCAATAGCAAAACAACAACAACAAAAAAACCAAAAAAACAGTATGATAAAAAAAAAATAGGCAGACCTGAATAGACTTTCCCCAAAAAAGACATACAGATGGCCAACAGGTACATGAAAACATACTTGAAATTGACTAATCAGAAAAATGCAAATCAAAGTCACTAGGTTATCACCTCACACCTCTCAGATTATCATTGGGCATAATGGCACCCAATGGCACCTGAATGGCTGTGGTTGAGTGTCTGCCTTTGACTCAGGTTATGATTCTGGGGTCCTGGGATTGAGTCCAGCATCAGGCTCCCCAGAGGGAGCCTGCTTTCCCCTCTGTCTATGCCTCTGCCTCTCTGTGTGTTTCATGAATGAATGAATGAATGAATGAATAAATAAATAAATAAATAAAATCTTTAAAAAAATTACTGCTATCAAAAATATAAAAAAATAACTTGGCAAAGATGTGGAGAACATACACTGGTTGTGCAGTGTTGGTGGGAATGCAAACTGGTGTGGCCACCATGGAAAACAGTATGGAAGTCCCTCAAAAATTAAAACCAAATTAAATACGATCCAGCAATTCCACTTCTGGGTATTTGAAGAAAACAAAAACACTAATTTGAAAAGACATATACATCCCTATGTTCACTGAAGGATTATTTACAATACCCAAGATATGAAAAAACCTAAGTGTCCACTGATGGATGAATAACCTGTAGTACATATACACAGTGAAATATTACTCAGCCATAACAAAGAATAAGTTTTACCATTTGCTACAACATGGATTGACTTCAAGGGCATTATGCC